GTGAATTATTTAGATTTGATATTTAAGATGGTCAAGGATTTGAATTGAATGCTTTAGTAGTTGTCGTTTGTATTTTCTTTGGGATAGTCGTGTGTGTTAAAGACTAAGTGATAGAAATTTAATGTGAAATTATTAAGATCTATGGTAAGTTTTGCAAAAAGATGTTTTCTTTCTGTGTCTGAAGTGCGGTGAATATTTTAAACTTTTGCAACATTAAGCGTGTAGGTATTATGCATATACCATGATAGAATAAAAAGTTTGGTTAATCATGCTTTATATATTTTATCGTGTCATATTGTAGGCATGATAAACAATAAATGTATACCAAATTAAGAAGACTACCTACACCGTGGAAACTTAACAAAATTTGCCTACAAGACGCAACAACCCCTCTGTTTCTTTTGCATATACTGCACAAGACCGCCGCCCACTCGCTCGCGAATTCGACCAAAACTACACTCACACCCCGATATATTTACGCTTTATCCAGAACTTGTCGCCTTGTATAACGTGGCGACTCCCTACCGACTGAGATGTCCACCGGACGGCACAAAAGCGGATTTTAAACCCACACTTTGATGGAAAAGACGTTTTTGGTACATTTTGCAACATTTTAGACGAAAATCATTTGCAAATTTTCACGTCGTCGTGTGTCGTTGCTTTGTATTGCAATTAGGTTGTTGTAGATTTAGATTAAGGTTTCATTTAATAATGGTTGATAGAAAATGTACTTTTGAGTTGTTTCTTTGTAGTTCTTTTGATTTGATTGTAATTTGAAAGAATGGAATCATCGTAAGTAGGTATATTATCATGAAGTGTTCTCAGACAGAGTGTTGTTATTAACTTAGAGGAGACCATATTTCTATTATTATTATTTCATATATTTATTTAAATTTATTAATCCTTTATAAATTACATTTTCAATTACTACTTACATAAAACAAAACAAAGATAATATTTAAACATGTAAAAATACCGAGGGCATGGTCTAAGCTACCGTTGGTTAGGGCTTCAAAGACAGTAACGTGCCTCTTCTAGGAAAACTGCCTTCTGCATCAGGAATTACTATTATTTATTAGTATACTTATATCAGCTAATGACAATCCACTGCTGAACTATGAGCCTCTAAGAGGGCTTGCCATAATCTCCATTGGTGGGTTGAAATTCGCTGTTTAAAAGGTTCTGGTTTATCAGATACCGCTGTTGTTTGGTCTTTGTGAAATGACTAATCTCTTAATCGAGTCGTACTTCATTCACGAACAGAACAAAGGTGATGTTACTGATGTAGTCTAACTACTATGACGCCATTTTTTAGATACACGCCAAAACCTACACATACCTTATTTACTTTTGGGTGTCATTGTGTATGTGAACTTGTATGTTTGTAAACGCACCCACGACACAGGAGAAGATCCTAATGTGGGGCAACGTTTAAAAAAAAGACTAAAAGACTTTATAACACGTTAAACGCCATGGCAGTCACCGGTGACCGACATTAGCGGCGGATTTGCCTTCAACAGTTTTTTATTGGCATTCAAATCCTTAACAACAAAATACATGAATTTAAACGTCAAAACTGTGCACATATACTCGTATTTCTTTGCTTGCAATTAAATTGTGTAATGAACGTGTTATGTCATTCACAATCCACACTAATTTAGATTGCGACGCGAACACTGCTCCACGTCATGTCTATGCAAATCAGATATTAATTTTGTGCATTTTCAGCCTTATAAACAAAGGTTGAATGGTTTGTTAGTCCGTAGCACGGTTGATTCCCGGATTGAAACGAAGAGTTATTGAGATTTTTTCTTTTGGAAATTCACAATAATAGGGTAGTTCCTAAATTTTAGACACGTATTTTTTCTTGTTTCACTAAATTAACTCGTCGAGTACCGTCATTATAGACACAATTATAGAACAATAGGTTGCGGTCACCGGTGACCGATAGGTGTTTGACAGTTTAAATACTTTTGAAGATATATTAACTCGTCGAGTACCGTCATTATAGACACAATTATAGAACAATAGCTTGCGGTTACCGGTGACCGATAGGTGTTTGACAGTTTAAATACTTTCGAAGATATATTAACTCGTCGAGTACCGGTTTTGTAGACACAATTATAGAACAATAGGTTGCGGTCACCGGTGACCGCTTGGTGTTTGACAGTTTAATTTGAAATATCGTGTGACGTCACAGCGTGTCACATTTCGTAGCACGTTATAACGTAACGACCTCCCACTCCTAAACTTAGCGCCATTATATTTAAGTATTGCAACTTAATACGAAAACATACGTGTCTAATATTTTTTCATTGTCTAACTGACGGACTAATTAGATTTTTAATTTTGATACCATGGACACAACCCAATTGCAGGTACTTGGTATATAAATCGGATCGGATCGGACAATAGGATCGCTCCATATTATATAGCACTCATAAAAGCACAAATAAGTATTATTAATCAATGAATTTTCTATTTTTTTATAAAACAGTATTATAAACAGGCATAAACGCGAAAAAAACTACATACATTCCGGTCACTGGCTGATAATCGAATCGGTTTAGGGCGGCGCAAACCGGATTTTTCCGGGTTTGATCGGTAATTTATCCCAATTAGCGGAGGCTGCAGCGGTAAAAGAATTTTTTTCGAGGTGCGGACTTGAATTACGTTAGCCGATTAGCTTCCCCGTATAATTTGATTAGTGTCGTCGGTATGTTAAAATCAAGTTGAGTGATACAATTCAATTGTTTTCTAATCTAATGTTATAAAATTCTGATTTTGTCACCATTTCGTGTTATGTACTTGAGTAAGTAATTTGTACTAGGAATATGCGTGTAATGTGTGTTGAAGAATATCAGAAATTTTATGCAACTGTAGTTTTGTACTCGCTAAACACTACGATAATCGATAGAAACACTGCAGTTTTAACTGTACAGTTAGACTTACTATTAAATAGCATTATAGAGCAAACAGTTGAACTGTACAGATTTAACTGAATCGAAACAAGAGAATATATAAATTGTGAGGTGTGTAGGCTGAATGAAGCTACGATTTAAAGTAAAAATTATCGTTGAATCTGTAGCCTGCATTACATAATTAAAAAGTTGTTTTAATTACACACAATATCTAGCCAAAGTAACAAATGCTACATTTACGATAGTGACTTCATACCATGTCAATAATTTTATCTTTTACTAGCTACTTCCACGCGGTTTCACACGCTCTGCTCAGCACCTATTGGTCGTGTGTGTGATGTTTTATAGCCTATAGCCATCCTCGATAAATGCGCTATCCAACACAAAGAGAATTATTTAAATCAGGCTTGTAATTACGGAGATTAGCGCGTTCAAACAAACAAACAAAAAAACAATTCCGCTTTATATAACAGTATAAGATAAGATACAATCTGGTAACACAAGCTATGAGATCGTATCGTATTGTGTGATTATCTGTGTATATGTGAACCTATTTGTTTAGTTACAAAAGAACCATTAATTTAACAAATATGGTAAGCAAACAATTTCTTATTAAGGTGTATAACCTTAAGAGCCATTACATACATAAAACATTTGTTTTAAAAACATCTGTATATACACACACACACAGATACATACACAATACATATAATTCCATTTATACTACAAACAATACTCTAAAAGTTACTGCATTTAAAACCCGCTGGGAGATATAAATCTATTTATATCAGCCATTCAAAGTTATCGTTAAAAACTTATACTTTGCGAGTTACTATTGTTTGAAGCTAATATTTTAATTATATTTTAGTTCAAGTTTATGAGTCATCTGGGACTTTTACGAGTAATTACGTTTTTGGAAAGACGTCTGGATTTTCGTCTGGCGTTTTTATGAATATGGTTTTCATTTTGAGTAAATGGTTTTTTTTTTAAGGGTGGAAATCATCGAAGGACTGCTCCCGCCTGGGTGAGGCGGGAGGGAGTGTCAGACTCTTACTGACTAAAAACCACCCCGTTCCTTCTCCTGCACGTCGAGCCGAAGCCCCGGTAACCCGTTAAGTTCTCCGCGACCGTTGGGTTCTCCGCGACGAGTAAATTAATTAATGGTATTTAGATGAACGAACAATAGGATAGTTGCCAGGGTATAAAAATGAAAAATGTAATTAGTCCGTCAACTAGATAATGAAAACGTACTAGACACGTATTTTTTATTTTCTCGTATAAAGTTACAATACTTACATAAAATGAAGTTAAGAAGTGGGAAGTCGATACGTCACAGAGTGCTACAAAATGTACCACATTGTGACGTCACACGATATTTCAAATTAATCGTCGAAAGTATTTCATTTTCTGACGGACATTAAAATTAAATTTAGGGAACATAATAAACCCAATAGGGTATTGGGTTTATTATGTAGATATGTATTTATCTTTTAAGAATTGTAGACGGAAAGCTATATTTAAAATCTTAAAAGAAAACGTGTATTATTAACTTTAGGTATGTGCGTTGACTTGTCGATTTAAAAAGTTGCATTTAATATTTATGACGTGTATAAAACTAGTACTCTTGTACCTATATAGAAGCGTATCAATTAAATTACATAACATAACTTCACGCCTTTTATCCCCGAACGGGTAGACAGAGGTTCACATTACGGCACCTAATGGTACTGTACAATGTAACACCCACTTTTCACTATTTTTATTTTATGTTATGAGTCCCGTGTAATAGGGGGTGAGCCTATTGCCATACACCGGGCACAATTCCAGACTCCGTGCTACTACTGCGAATTTTTTTTTAAACAATCAATATAATACGGAATAATGAGGAAGTGTCAATTAAATTATCCTTATATTATTGCCAGAAAGTATTAAACAAATAGCTGATAGTAAAATGATTAATGTTTAAAAATGTAGAATTGTGTAATTAATCGTATTTTTTAGTCCAAGTTACATACAACTTAAACGAAATTCAACAGTGATTATTAAATATTTTAGTAATTTCTTAATTTTTCTATTACAGGGAAATCAAATCGTTTTATGATGCAGCAGCAGTGAGGCAGGGTGACCTGCTGCTTAAATTATATTAGGTGTAACGAATCTCTAGGTAAGCTAAAAATTATTTTTATATTTGCGATATTAATAACGCGAATGATCCGATTTGTTAAGTGAATAATTATTTATATTAACTTTTCTTTAATTATACCTATATCTCTCATATAGATGAAAAACAATCTATGTTATTTTACGGTATAAGCCGGTAAACGAGCAGACAGATCACCTGATGGCAAGCAATCGTGCCCCATGGACACCTGGAACACCAGAGGCGTTACAAGTGCGTTACCGACCTTTTATGATTAGAAGTTTGAGGATTATTGGGCATTCAGGGATTGGGGAAGGGCGCTGGTGGGGGACCTTTGGGCCTCCGGTCCACCTCACTCACATGAAGCAACACAACGCAAGCGTTGTTTCACGTCAGTCTTAAGAGGCCGTGGTACCATTCCGGTCAGGCCGGCCCATTCGTGCCGAAGCATGGCTCTCCCACACTTATTATGTACTTATTGTACTTATTTGTATACGTTTTCATTTTGTGCAAATACTTACACGGATTATAAATAATTTCAGGATCAAAACCGGAGCCAGTGCAGTCCAGGAACCTGTTGAAGAGCTCTTTAGAGAAGAAAACTATTAATACAAAAAAAACTAAGACCAGGAACAGGATGGTGTAAGTATTAGTAATTTACATTATAAGAATCAACAATTTTATATTAAAGAAAGCTTAAGGTTCGTATATAATTAGGTGAGCTGAAAAAGGTGCTTTTTTCAATAACATTGACAAAACAAAATGTAAAAATGTTACAAAATACAAAGAGGTCAATGACAATATGTATAAAAAACTAAGTATATATATGTCATTCATTTCGGCTCAAGCTAAAATCTGAGGTCTGAATATATTCCGTTTAATTATAATTCTAGGTAGGTATTATTCCGTACAAATTATTAAAGTAATTTGTGATTAATTATTATCTTTTCAGCTTTCTAACGAGCAACTCGACTAGTTTCAAGCCATGCTACGTCTGACTGACGACGACTGTCACTATTGACAGTCGCCGCGTCGCGGGTTACGAAATGCTGCTCATGATTATGAGCCTCTAGCATTACTTGAAACTAGTCAAATTCCACGTCAAACAGTTATGTGAGTAGGCCGATAACATAATGATTAATTTAGTATGTCACACGATAATTATAATATCATTTGTTATTATCAATAATTGGACTAATACTCATTGTCAAATTAAGCTAAATCTTATTTTTATTATCGGTCTGTAACCTTTAAAAGCTTAATCAACTTGGCCCTAACTAATCGATACCCCACATATCGATAAATTTCACTAGCACACAAAAATTGACAGACCAAATTCAAAATTGAAGACTGTAATAAATTCAATGAAATTCTAAAAACATTTCGACCAGAAACACCGAAGTTTAGTCATGGTGTTATGACCGGTTATTTTTATTAGTTCACTCGTAGCCTCGTACAAACTGAACGGGTTTATTGGGATCCGTGCTAGAAAGGGGAAAACGGATCCCGGAGTATGATTCGATGTCATGTCCATCCGTCTGTCATCAGGTTATGAAGGACTAGGCAGTAAATATAGACAAAAATACCAAACACAGAATAAAGAAAGATTATTATTGTGTAATAATCGTATCGTAAAATAAATTAAACTAGCTACTTCTGCGCGGTTTCATACGCTCTGCTCAGCTCCTATTACTCGTAGCATGATGTTTTGTAGCCTATAGCCACACTCGATAAATGCACCATCCAACACAAAAAGAATTATTCAAATCAGACTTGTAGTTACGGAGATTAGCGCGTTCAAACAAACAAACAAAAAAAACAAACTCTTCAGCTTTATATAATAAGTATAAGTATAAGATTACCTGATCCGGCAATTTTCTCGCTTTTAAAACCTCCCCTAGACTTCCGCGAACATTTCAAGACCAAAATTAGCCAAATCGATTCAGCAGTTTTTGAGTTTTAGCGAGACTAGTGAACGGAAATTCATTTTTATTTATACAGAAGAAGATTAAGTTAAATAATAGGCTGCGCATGTTGCTTATGGATATGCGCCCCGGTGTGACTCGAGACTAGTAGAGCTTTTCTCCATAACTTCACGAAAGCAAACCACATATTATAATTGAATAGGAAAGGCCTATGTATAGGCACCAATAAATCACTATTATTCATGTTTTTACACAATAACAATAAAGTTTAGTCGTGTAATTTGATTAAAGGATGTATCGTTCGGAAAATTATTTCTTAACATAACATAACATCACGCCTTTTATCCCCGAAGGAGTAGGCAGAGGTGCACACAGAAGTAACACCCACATTTCTCTATTTATGTTATGAGTCCCATGTAATAGGGGGTGAGCCTATTGCCATATACCGGGCACATTTCCAGACTCCGTGCTACTACTGAGGATTTTTTTAAAACCCAGTAATACTTTACCCGAGAATCGAACCCGAGACCCCTTGCCCGGCCGACAGTCGCACTTGCGACCACTCGGCCAACGAGGCAGTCGGCAGGCAAATTATTTCTTATATTTAGTATTTTTATATGTTCATAGTACGGAATCCTTCTTTCGCGAGTCCGATTCACACTTGGTCCGGTTTTTATCTATTTTTAGTCCTAGTATTGGTGTCTGGAAAATATCCGCGATTTCGGTCCAAAACGGCTGGTAAAAGGTACGATGGAATAATAAAAATCGATTACTCTTGTTGTATTAATGGCGTGGTGACAACGTGGGGCTTGTAGGTTGTGTATTAAAAATATGTATTTTTATATTGGTGTTTAAAAAACCATGTTAGGTTTGTTGTTAGTTAGAATTTTGTTTCGTTGTGTCTAATGGTTCCTGGGAAATATTCTTTTATGATGGCGTTCTTTAATATATTATATAGATATATAATAATATACGGTGCACCCCTGCCTAGCCCTACGGAGATGAAAGGCGTGATTTTACGTACTATATGTAGGTATGTTTATTTTCATTACTTTAATTTCTTAAATATCCAATTCCAGGTCCAGTATCCCGACGAGGTACCTTTCAACTCATCATCACTATCACTGCTTCGCCGAAGAATTGTAAGCATAACAACTTCGCTTCGCCTTCATCAGAGCTTCGCTTCGCTTCTGCTTACCATAGACTAAATGCTTTGGAGATGGTAATAGTTAGGTGTTAATGATAAAATGAAGCGAAATTTAATTAAAAATTGAAACTGACGAGTTATATTGCAATTATTTACATGTCTTCAAATCTAACATTCATAAAATTAACTAAAAATCGCGGGTTACTCACTGACAAAAGCTCTACTTCTTTCGAGCCACAATGGGACGCTTGCTCACGAGCAGCGATTTTTAGTTAATTTAGTATGACGTCTCACAATCTTGTTAAAAAAAATCCATGAAAGTCTCATATATTTGTGTTCTCAAATTATTAACTTACATTAGGTTTTCGTACCATATTGCTTACAGCTGCAATAAACGTTTATTTTCAGAAATCAATTGTTTTATTTACCTATTGCTTGCAAGTGTGATAGCAAATTGCAATGCTAAAATGCATTAATGTTTGAAAAAACGCATCTTTATCACGCTTATTAATACATGGGTAAGTACCTATATTAGAATACCAATGCAAAAAAATAAAACATAGGTAGGTACATATTTAATATGCAAAAAAAAATAGTTAATATACAAATTTTACAAAGGTAAAGACTCTTTACACATGTATCTATTGATTTTGATTGTTTTTTTTTATTGCGTAAGCCGGTAAACGAGCAGACGGATCACCTGATGGTAAGCAATCGGCGCCGCACATGGACACCTGGAACACCAGAGGCGTTACAAGTGCGTTACCGGCCTTTTGAGGATTTGGAGTTTGAGGATCGTTGGGGATTCAGGGATTGGGGAGATTGGGGAAGGGGAGGCTAATTGGGCCTCCGGTAACCTCACTCACACGACGAAACACAACGCAAGCGTTGTTTCACGTCGGTTTTATGTGAGGCCGTGATATCACTCCACTCCGGTCGAGCCGGCCCATTCGTGCCGAAGCATGGCTCTCCCACACTTTGAATTGCTACAAAATTAATAAAAATATTTCAGTATCTATCTTCTAGATTCTTTCTAGATTAAGGCGCGCAACATATTCAATGAACAGTACATAATAAATAATATTGGTTTATAGAAATAAGATGTCCTAAATTTGTATATAATGTTAAAGCTACGTTCGCCTATAATAGGTACAGGGCTTTCCTAGTGCTCGCATCAAACTGTATAAGGTGTACCTCGCTTATTATGATAATATATTGTAGGTATTTTGTTCATTTTATCATCATTAAAGATTATTTATTATATACTTGCCTCTGAGAAAATATGTCTGATAACATCTACTAAGTACCTTAGATATCTATTACTATTATATAAATTGATAAATTATCTATTCAATAAGTACCTATAGGACTATCCATCATATTTACAAAAGCATTGCAAACAATTTCTCTATAGAATGCTAAAAAAGTAAAGTCATGGGAATTATTATTTAATTTGCAAATGTCTGAAAAATCATAGAAGCATAAAAGTTTTGCAAGTAGGTAGGTACAACCACAAATAAAATGAAACGACTCCTACGATTGATCCAAATCCACAAAAATAACAAATCTTCTATTTAGTTGCAACTTGTGGACTTGGGCCGATGATAAACTACAAAGAGATCAATAAAACAAACAAATAAACATAACCAAGCGACTGGATATCAGCTAACGAAAATCAAAAGTATCCCGTCGCCGCCGTCCATGTTGAAACGCTCGACAAAAGCGCCACCGAGTAAATTTTTTCATAACTAAATGGCGAACGGAAAAAAATAGCGCCCCCAACGGCATCTCTTAGCGGACGAGAGAATTTTTCCCGAGTTCGGTCATAACACCCGACCACGTGCATTTGTTTTGGTTCGGTTTTTTTTGTCGAAAAAAAGAGCATACATAAAGCTCACCTCGAACGCCTCGTAGGTGCGCAAAGCAAAATGGTCGTCATTTTTTTCTTCTCTTTTCAGCCATCTGTCCGTCCTTTTCGGTCAAAAATGCGATCGTTATTTCTGTTCCGGTGCGGGTGTGTGCGTCTAGCGGCCGGCGTGCCAAATATACGCCATGTTTGCGAGAAGCGAATTTCGACTGTGCTGCCATGAAATAGAGTTGGTTTTTGTACTAAAGGTAGATCGTCTTACGTCTAATGTTTGACGGAGAAAAAATAGAAATATAGGAGGCACGGCGTGTACGATAAAGAGAGCCGGAGTCGTTAACGATTCTGCGCCGGGAAGTTGCGCAGATTGCGTTTTTGGTGCTTTTTTTGGGGCCAGTACCTCACACCAGCGGGGAGTTTTTTATGGCTGTCTTTTTCTAGCACGCAGTCTCACTCATGCCGCGTAGTGTTAGCGGCTGTGCGTGTGTGCGGGGGCAAACACCTAGCACTAGATTTTTGCGTGCAAACTTCCTAGATAGGTGATCGGCGGGAGTACATGGCCGCGGTATATAATGAGATGTCACCGCTATGTACATAGTAAATAGAGCTGTGGAACAAAGCGTATGTACGCTGACGCTGATTAATTGCGGTCTTTCATAATTCTGCGCGCCAACATACTGACAGTTAATTGCCTATTCAGATAAATATGAAAAGTATGCAGCGCTGCAGTGTTTTTTGCACAAAATACTAGATGTTAAACTGTTTTAAGCGTTAGAGGGCAATGCACTTAGATTATGGATATTATTGGTTTTTGTGAATATCAAATATAACTTTACCATAACGACATTACGTTTTGTTTAGAACTTTTGAAACTGAACTGAAAATCGAACTAGAAGTCTAGACAATATTTTTGACATTTGTTACAAAAAAGTTAATACTTAGGTACTAACGTAGCGTTCAAATCGAATCTCCACATTTTTAAATATTTCTAAATTGAAAGAATCAAAAATTCCTATTGATTCATCCAAATAAGTCCACTCACCATCCATACCTACTTACTATGACGAGTCAGCTACGTCTACAGACAAACAACTCATAGACAACAAAATAACTTTTAAAACAAAATCTAACAAATATATCTAGTTAAAACTAATTCAACGACAGAAACACACAACAATTTGTTGCACGCAAGTCAATTAACCAATTCTCAAATCTCAATATCCGTCAGCATAGCACTGTTGTCGTTGCCTCAATATTTAAAAAAATTAAATGAAGCTAAATTGGCGCCAACCCGTTGCCATGGCGACGCGTCGGGTCTTCTTTTTTTAAAGAATGGCGGGACCGCGCACAGATTACTTTCCGATACACAAAGTTGTAATAAAATTTTGAATTGTATTATTTACCTAGTGGCGTTTTGTTTTTTTATTTTTGTTTTTACTTAATGCTTTCAATGTTATTGGCTATACGGTTTTATTAATATTGCATGAAAAATATTGGGAAAACGCTGACTTAAATTTTACGTTTATTATTGTTTTTGTTAGATGTACCCAACGGTTCTAGTAAAATTTCGTTCTGTACATTTTTACTTTTTTTCTATAAACTTATGTCTGGTCTGCCCACCACTGTTGTTAATAAGTAAATTAGATCACACACAATCATCGATTTCATGCAATTCAAAATCAAATCAATTGGGTAGTTTCCTAGGTCAAAAATAAGTTATTGTGACTTTTCAATGCAATACAGTATTCAGAAATAAACCTACGTTCATTCATTGATTTGACAATATATTTAATATTAGAGTTTTAAGAAAAAATAAGTGCACCTACTAATTGACGCCAAAATTTTATGACGTCATAAGTTCATTTTTCATACAAAATTCAAAGAAATGTATCGTTTTTGATATTTCGATAAAAGTATTGAATTTGACTAGTTGTCAACTACCGTATTAATGTGAATATATTATTTTCTTAATACTTGTACAGAATTTAACACGTTGAAGCAATATATTTTTACTAAGGAAGTTGTGTTTAGAACAATTTGAAATAACCAGAAACCATGACAGAATACATCATAATGATTTATTTATGCTACATTGTGACTGGTTCTACCTAAATGTTTTCTGATCTTCTTCGTCATGTCACTGCCTCATTGACCGAGTGGTCGCAAGTGTGACTGCTAGTCAAAGGGTCTCGGGTTCGATTTCCGGGTCAGACTAAGTAGGTATTACTGGTTTTTTTTTAATAAAATTCTCAGTTGTAGCACTGAGTCTGGAATTGTGCCCGGTATATGGCAATAGACTCACCCCCATTACATGGGACTCATAATATAAATAGTGAAAAGTAGGTGTTACATTGTAAGTACAGTGGCATTAAGTGCCACAATGTCCACCTCTGTCTACCCCATCGGGGATAAAAGGCGTGATGTAATATATGTCAGGCGTTTGCCTGAATGACAAGAAGTAAACACATTATTTCTGATATTAAGCGGCGTTGTCTTGTGTTGGACATACTTCTTGGAATCAACGACAAAGCACAGCTCTGACTTAAAGAGATGTCCATGCACACCAGTTAAATTTTTTTGTTCTTATTTTAATGTTCTTTAAGCGTAATTATGTAACATTTAGAATGGAAACATTCAAAATTGATATAGGTATTCAAATCATAAAGCTATCTCGCCAACACTATGGGCCTTTAAACCAGAAATTCATGGAGAGCTATGCTGTTCTTTAGATAAGGAATCCCGAATGTAGACACAACCATCATAAATGAAGAAACTATAAAAAAGAGATGCAATAAAAAACTTAAATAATACAATAAAATTATAATTAAATATAAACTACTTAAATTTAAAAAAAAAACAGCCAGGAAAAAAATAAGGTAAAAAGCTAAAAGAAAAATACAATACAATTGAGTAGCGGATATGAAACGATTATGAACTCCAATAGAATAGAAGATTATTTATTATTTACTAGAGTTCCTACTTAATCTAATACATTTTTTCTAAATCATTTATATTTAGGTGACCATTGATGTTGAGTTTGCAATAAGTAAAATTGTATTAGTTAAGATATAAATATTAAGGTGTATTGTAAACTTGTTTGTGGTTCCAAAAAAAAAAAAAAAAAAATACGAGTACATATACGGACTTAGGGTCAATTGTTCAATATTCAGTTTTTTTTTGTGTAGAATAAAATTGACTGCGGCTGCCAGGGCAAGGAGTCTCGGGTTCGATTCCCGGGTCGGGCAAAGTACTAATGGGTTTTTCAAAAAATTCACAGTGGTACGGAGTCTGGAATTGTGCCCGGTATAAGGCAAGGCTCAACATCTATTACATGGGACTCATAACATAAATAGCGAAAAGTGTGTGTTACATTTTACAGTTGCATAATGTATACCTCTGTCAACCCCTTCGGGGATAAAAGGCGTGATGTTATGTTAT